AGAACACTGTGGATGAAAGTTCAACACCAACCTGATGTACTTCAGTCAGCATCATGAGTAATTGTCAAGAATTGGAAGAAGTTTTTCATTAATGGATAGTTTGTGTTTTTCTAAACTTTAATAAACGTTTTCATTTATAAAGCATCAGTCTTTTAATAACAACAATGCTTATATTTTGTGACAGACCGAAATTTGACCCATGTTCAGGGTTGCAGTATTTGGTAAACAGTTTGTACTACTAATCATGTGTGCACCAACCTGAAAATCGTTGCACATGAACGCGTAACAACATCCCTATGTCTCACATCCACACAAGACTGCACAGTACACTCCCTGGCCGTACCGCTGAAATAATAAGTTAATTGCCATATAAATGAAATTGTGTAAACGTGAAAGGATTAACATATTAGAACCTTTTGTTATCAAGAAGCATAGTTATGGTCAGTGAAAACAATAGATTCTGACGATGTAGCTTCATCATTACCACCACTTGAACTCAGAACTTGTGCACATATGTCTTCTGATTCTTCGAGGCATGAACGGATAATTTTACTGGCCAGATATTCACTAAGAGCATTTATTGAGCGGTAGTTATTAATGAATCTCTCTAGCGAATCTTCAGTCCCTGTAGAGATTAACATGTTGTCCAGCGCACGAAGTACGAAGTCCGTTATGTATTTCTTTGTCCATCGGCTGTCATGTCGAAATAAGTCTACAATATTTATAGAGAAAAGAAACACACACTTACCTCCATGAATTAGATCTTTGGGATGTGCATACAATACACGACCAGAGGGCGGCGTGTAGTCATTGAAACGCTCACAAGCACATCGTGCAGGTGAAGTACCAACAGCATACGTCATGCCCTTGTTGTAGCAGTGAATGAATGCCCCTGCTATTAAGTCATGTCTCGTTTTCCTTACACGTTTATAATTTACAGATACAATTTTAGCTGCGAAAGCTCATTTAGAAGATGCATTTAAACATACTTATTTCCTCAAGTTTTAGAAAACTTTAGAGATTCTTTATAACGTCATATGGACACAAACGCAAGTCAGTGTCTGTTTCACTCCAGATTTTCTAGAACAATAGCAAAAGAAAATAACCCTTCCTGAGATATTCTTTCAGTTGTTTGTGGGCACTTTCGACGCGATTCTGTATGTGGTTGCCCAGGTTCAGCAAATGCCGCTGGTAACAGCGAGCCCACATTGACTTCCGAGGGATCTAGTTAACTTTTATATAATCATATGCTCGTGGAAAATGAGTTCTTAGGTGTTCGTACTTCTGAGTAAATCTGAATACAATGTGTTATGAAAAGCGAGATGCAAATGTCAGATCGCTTGGTTTTTCGAGATGTTCCAAGCATTTGCGTACATCGGAATTTCTGAAGTAGAGCAAATAATTTGTACAGTTAACACTTATCTTCCTGAAAAATGCTCTAAAGACATGAAATGAACACAGTATTATGTTGACATGACTGTGCGTAGACTGTACCGCGGAAATTTTAGTCGCTGCCGAATCCATAACGAAAGTGCGCGTATAATAAGTAAAGCGCATTATGTCTTTGAAGCACTCCGGTAGGCCTATTACGTCCTCGCGCCGTTGTTGGCTGCAAAGAACATACATAACAGTGTGCCCTTGCCTAAGACTATCAGTAGCCGCTAGCTGGAATAGTGGAAAACTTTGAGATAAATTTTTGCTATTCGTTACCCAAGTTTTGTGGTCTGGTAAGTTGAATAAATGCATAATACCTATAGCAACGCGTGATAAATAACTATTTGCTCCCTACGACTAAAGCAATCCATAGATATGTTCCCATTTTCATTGAATACCCTTATTTCAGTGTTTGCCTGAACACTCTGTAAAATGTTTTTGATATATTTAGTGTCTAAACTCAATTAATTACGACGTGAGTTTAACAACATGGATACAACTGTGATCTCATTTTGGCGATATTGTCCTATTTAAGCTGTTTATGGGACTTCCAAGAAACCAGAAACCGTAAGCTACGAGTTGGCATATCACTCAACAGAAACGGTCTTAAATATAAGCGTTCACTTGATGTCAACTCTCGTCTTGAAGGATCTACAGATATATATCCTTCTGTGAAAGGATGGTCGCGTACAGTTTTAATAGAGGTGACTTTGACCTCACCATTCACTGCACGGATCCCAAATGCAGATTGACAATGACAATATTTCTACCCGAAGGACAAAATCACTCAAAATAAGGCATACGCAGATGACCGATATCGTCTTCTTTGTCTAGGTTGTGGTGGTGAGTTAGAAGTTGTATGCGATTCGGAAGAATGATCATTACTATCATCATCTACATCCTAAAGACAAACATCTGATTCTGACGAACTGCAGCTCGTAAACGCATGCGTCTATGTCCATAAGCACAGACATACCTGACGAAAAACCACTAGAGTCATGTCATCATTGTTCTTTTGCATACTGGAATAACATGCTTAGTATGCGTACACTGCAAAAATAATTATCAACGACAGGAGCCATATTACCTTATGTACGTCTTTCAAACAGGTTTCAAAATTGTCCCAACTTGTAAATCGTCGCAATAACATAATATCATTGAAAATTCGTCCTGTATCATGTATCATCATGATTTCATCGTTTTCATTACTTGAAAGATGTGTAGAATTACGATCTACTTCGTCATTAGTACTGCTTTAATATATATAATCCTAAAACTGTAGATTTGTCATGATGTAACTGCCCAATCTATAAGGTCTTACGTGGAAGTCACATCATTCTGTACAATGACTCATCATATCGTAACAATCACCAATGTATGATGGAGAACACAGTTAGACTGGAGTTAGAAAGTTATGTTTAATATAAATAAAAGCCATAAGACGACACACAGAAATGACCACACCTGAAAGACAAAGTCACGCCATTCCATGAATTCAATTTCGAGTGAATGTCACCGCGTCTACCATTATTGACCTCTTAGTGTTACATGTTGAATGTCTATTTTTCTAGTCATCTCATGTTCAGCTTTGTTGATTGTGTGGTTAGTGCTCAGTGCCACTACAAATGGACGTAATCAGACATAATATGGCTGTACTCAGTTCAAATCTAAAAATGTCTTGATTTGGCCGCTTCTGTCAAACTTTACGAATCGTCGAAATGACGCACAAATCACTTTACTACGGTTTGACATTCAAGGGCTCAGCAACCTCCATCAGTTGACGATACACCTGAAGCGTTACCATGGGCTGTTTGACCGTCGAATGATTCTTAACTCTATTGTGTGATCGTATTCATTTTCGGACAACATCAGCTTTTCGGGAGCGAGTCGGTGCTCTTTCGAGAATGCAGGTGATTCTGTAGTCTTGATGTGATATGTAACATTGCTGGTTACAGGCGGTAATTTCGGTTGAGGTTGGTATATCCCAGAATACTTATCGAGTAATGATTTATAGAATGGGTCTATCGTAAGCCTAACTATTGCAGAGATAAATTAGTGTTTCCGCCTACTAGCCTCCATTCGCACGTACCGGTGAGTAGACTGTGGTGTTGAAGGAGGTCTATACCAATGATTGGCATAGAAACATCTACAACAACAAAACTCCAGTGAATGGGTTTACGTAAACCTACGTTAAGATAAACGTACCTTTTACCAGATGTGGTGATTGGCTTTCCGTTTGCCGTCTGTAAGTTGACAAAAGATTCGTAAAGCCGGTCATTAGAATTCGCTGAGAGAACATTAACTTCTGCCTCAGTATCGACGAGGTAGCGGACTTACGTTAGCACATCTGTGACGTATAACAGACGACTTTGTTTGCCTGATATAGTTGCCGTTAACTTGTGCCGCCTGGGAAGCTTCCCGAATTGTTTTTCGTGTCAGTCGATTTTGAGTTCGGAAAATTTCAGGGTTTTCTGCAATTTCCGGAAGGCTTTCCATACCGGTTATGGTACCAACATCAATCGGGGTTATCTGTCTCTCGTGGTCTAGAGACAGATGACTTACGTGAAGTGCTTCTTCGCAGGGTATGTGACTATTCAGAGTTATCATGAATTCGTTGAAATTGTCAGTACCTCGTAGGAAGGTTGTATTGAACTTTACACTGCTATTTCCCCACTGCCCAGTGTTTCTTTAACTTCCGTCTCATCTTGACCACAACCAGGTGGTGATCTGAAGCTCAAATGGTTCAAATAAATGGTTCAAATGGTTGTGGACGGAATAGAAGAAGCTTTCGCTTAACAGGCTTCCGTGTCTAGTAGCAGGAGATCACCAAATCCTCCAGGCAGGAACCTAGGTATGTTAACAGTAAAAGAGGAAAAGAAATTGGTAAATCATAGTATGATACTGTCCTTAATCCTTAAGAATAGGTCAAGTTGCCTCTTGAAGGACTCCTGAGAAGTCGCTTGGACTAGCTCGGCCGGCAGCGAAATTCCAGCTTTTGACAACTCTTAAGGAGTAGAAGTTTTGTCTACATCCCGTCTTGCTATGTTGAGTTTCCAGTTTCTGGGTGTTACCCCTTAGTTTAGTATTCGAACTAAGCTTGAGTAGGTGTTTAAGAGGATGTCCAGAAGTGTTAAGAATACTATAAGCCATTAATAAATCACCTCTAAGACGCCTAATGGGTAAAGGTCTAGTGAATGGAGGCGTTCCTCGTAAGGCTTAGATTTGAGTCCGCGAACTGATTTCGTCGCTCGCCGTTGGATACGCTCCAAAGTGACCTTGTCGTTTTGGAGTGAGGGGGGGAGTACTATATTTCCGTACTCTAAATGGGGACGGATAAAACTATTGAAGATTGTATAGAAAGTTCTTCCGTCAAACTGGCCAAAAATGCGCTTCAATGTTACCAGTGCAAGGTTTGCTCGGAAGGCATTTTTGTCACAATTAGCGTAAGACTTTAAATCATGGGGCACCAGGACTCCTACGTAATCAATAGAAATACCATAATTCAGCGTATATAAACATTATATACCACAATCACAAGACTTAAAATACGGTATGGTTGTTTGATTAATTCAGTCCAACAGAGATTGGTTCGCGTGTGACTCACAAGGTCACTCTTCCCTGTATCATTTATTAGGTAAACAGCTGAGTAAGTTATTCTACCTCTTATTCCTTTTTATTTTAACTGCTAAACGCCACCTCGATTTATATGCTTGTGCTTGCCTGTTTTTTAAACTTCCAACAACCCTAGAGCGGTATTTGTTACCAACTTAAGCAAACCTAAATTTCAGCACACACCGGCTGAAGTTACTCATCATCAAAGTATATTAAGTTTGTGTTAAAATAGCAAAATTCAAAAAAATTACCTCAAAATTCTCCTTGGATTCCCCCAACTTTGGGCAAAACTACGGATTTCATAAGACTTTGGGAATAACCCCGAAAATCTTCATTGTCCCTTTCCCAAGGTTTTCACAAAATGGACAAATTTTCCCACAAACTCTGACGATTAGGATGACACCAGAAATTATCCCAGTTTAAAGAGGTTCCTCTCAGTTTTAGTCATTAAAATTGTATATGGTCTGGGATACTGCCCGGTTAGCCATACCTAAGCAAGTAATGATGACAGTTTATGGCATCGTGCTGTGGTATTTAATCGTTGCGTGTCAACCTTCAACTGTCCTCCACAACTCCGTTAATGGGATTCTAGAGCTATTGTTACACGGTAGGTAAGATGTTATTAACTTTGACTCGGTATTATGACCATTGAGTCCTGTTATAGTTTTCCCTTTCTTTCAAGATAGAAGTTAAAGGAAATTCTGTAACAGGTAATTTCTAGTTGTATTTTTCCTAATTGAGCTGCTCCTCTCATGATTCACCCCCACTTGTTTTTTATTCCTGTATCATTTTGTCCTTTTATTATACTCTTCTTCCGTCATCAGCCACTTCAAAATCATGAGCATTTGTTATAGGTGCCGTAAACTCACTTGAAATTAGGCTGTATTGAAAGCAGCAACCACAAGGTTTGTACATGCTTCACGAAACCACCCTTTATATTTGCCAAATTGGATGCCTCAGTTAACAGCAGATCGGCAACTAGGTCGCTTACAGATATATTTAGTGACCATGATGAATAATTAGTTGTAACCAAAGTCGACGAACAATGAAGTAAAAATGGTAATCAACCTTAAAAAAGACTGGCAGGTTGGCTGTATTTAATAAAATTCTGATCCTATTGTGAACCATAAATACCAAATAGTAAGTTGATGCAAAAATTCAGTAAGCTAGTAATTCGATCGGAACCCAAAATGATGAATTGTCTACTAAAAGCTTTGCACAAAAGTTACTTCTGTTGCTCATGGACACAGCAAAAGTTTGAGAAGTACAAATCAAGTTGGGACAGTAATTATAGTTCGTAGAACGCGTTTGATTGCTAGATATATTCATGGGAAATATTCGTTCGCGTAAACTATCCCGATAAAAACTTAATAAAAACAAGTTTCGCAGCATTGTTTCACTCCCTGTAATAGTGGCCCTTCAGGGAACACTACAGTATTTTTAGTTATTTGTTAAGGAATGATGAATTATATCTAGTTACCTCATTTTTGCTAGTTTTTCTTAGCGTATGTGTATATGACGGTTTAATTATTTTTTTAACCTAATCTTTTCACAGATTAAATTAATGTCACACAAGCGTCCTGAGCACTCACTTCCTCCCGAACTGGTAAACTATCGTAGTATTCTCCTTTATTTCTAGTACTATAACAGTGATGAGGCCAAAAAATACAGTTCAAAGTGAGTTTCGTATTTCTCATTTTTTTGTAGTTCTCATATCATTGATATTCAAACGCGTATCACAGAACGGGCTTTAGAATTACTTGCGTTGCCTGAAGATGAAGCATGCATGGTTTTAGATATTGGGTAGAAAACAACAGGTTTTTCTCATTTATTAATTCAGATGCGGCTCCGGTTTAAGTGGTGAAACTATTACTGAGAATGGTCATCATTGGGTTGGCGTTGATATAAGTAAAGATATGCTTGAGGTTGCATTAGACAGAGAAGTGGAAGGTAATTTAGTACTTGGTGACCTTGGTTGTGGATTGCCGTTTCGCGGTGGATCATTTGATGGGGCCATTAGCATTTCAGCAATACAGTGGCTATGCAATGCGGACAGATCCTCTCAAAATCCTATTGCACGTCTAAGAAGATTTTTCGTCTCGCTGTACAGCAGTCTTACTCGTGGTGCACGAGCAGTTTTACAGTTTTATCCGGAATCCATAGTTCAAGCAGATCTATTGCAGAATGAAGCTACGAGAGCTGGGTTCACAGGCGGTCTTGTAATTGATTACCCTAACAGTACGCGAGCGAAAAAGTAAGTTTGATTGATTCAGATGATATTACACTGTTAGGCCGTAGCTAAAGTTTATATTGGAAATTTCTAAGTCAGGCATCGCATTCAGGGATAACCTTTTTCACCTTTAAGGGTGTTAATAAAAAGTAAAATACTTTTCTGAACTCAATCGCCTTTCGTAAAATCATTCTGTTAAAATGTACTGTTTGTCCATAATGTGATAGCCATTCTCTATATTTAAAGTTTAAGATATGTATTGGGTAAATACTTAATCATAGTTTAGCGTCTAATAGTGTACTTCTGGTACATTAGCATTTCTTTTTCGACCCTTATCCATCTGTAATATCCAGGCTAAGTATCTTTCCAATTGCTATGGAATACTAGTACTTTAATTTATATGTTAGTATGAAAATTCCGGGTCAAAATTTAAACCAATTTAAGCTACTGTAGGGAGCAATTTCCTACAGGTTTAATTCTGAGCTATTCTCTAGACCGTCGAATACAGAGTCTTGGTTTGGCCAAAGTCAGAACAAGCAAGCTATTTGGCTAGATAAACTTTATCTGTTTCAAACAGTAGCCAGAGAATAGGAAAAACGAGTCAACAAACAAATATTGCTTTACAATGAACATCAAACTGTGACTGGTTAATAAAGAGATACAGTAGTACAAGGTCAAAGGGAGTTAATGTGGTGGTAGGCGTTTCCCTTCATTATTGGTGAGCTCGTCTATCGATCACATTTTACAGCTACTTTAAAAAAAACTATCACTAATTGTTGTAAAGCGTGTGTGGTTTAAAGCTGGGAACATAAATCAGTATTTCTTTACACTATCTATAGGTAACTTCTCTAATTGCACTTTAGAAAGTGGTAATCACTCAGTACCATCACAATAAAAGCATGCTGGCGAAGTAAAGTTTTATGTACTCAAGTCCTAGGTACACTTTTTTGTTAAGGTTGTTAGTAATATCTGGCTATTCAAACCGAGGCAAGTAGTGGGCCTTCAGCCACACTTCGGTTTCCCACGATCTCCAGTCGACTTGAATGGCAAGTTAATGTAAGTCCTCCAGCTCTTTACGAAGTTGAAAAAGTTATAGGAAATCTAAAGCATAGGAGAGCAGCAGGTCCTAACAGGTTTACCCCTGAGATTTTTAAGGATAGAGGTCCAGTATTAGCAGTGAGATTAACTGAGGTTTTAGGCAGAATCTGGGAACTAGAAATAATTCCATCTGACTGTTCTCAATCACTGATTGTGCCAGTTTATAAGAAAGGACAAAAGTCCTGTGTGGCAGTCATGGAGGAATCAGTTTGACTAGTATCGTGTCTAAAATATTAGGTTCAATAATACGTCGACGCCTAACTAAAGTTCTTGAAGAGCAGATTAGAGAAAACCAGGCTGGTTTTCGACCTGGACATGGTTGTATAGACCAGATATTCATAGATACACATTCAGACACTTCATTTCTCGACCTTAAGGCAGCATTCGACTTTGTTGATCGTGAGGCAGTGTTTGTCACTGGAAGGAGTACCAAATAAGTACATCAACCTTGTACAGGCTCTCTACTGGAACACAACTAGTAGAGTGAGAGCTTATGGCGAACTATCATCAGAATTGATTACCTCACGTGGTGTTCATCAGGGCTGTCCACTCTCTCCATTCTTGTTTAACTTTTTTAAAATTTTATTTTCTATTTGAACACATTAATATTGGTACAAGGGGGCACAAAACATATATGCGCCACACTTTTTAACTTTATCGTAGACGTGCTTTTAGAAATGACACTCTCCTCATCTGACTTTCCAGGGGTTGAACTTTTACCAGGAGATTCACTTTTTTGACTTAAAATATGCCGATGACATAGTTCTATTTGGTGAAGACGCGGACAAAATGCATAGTCTTCTGACCACTCTAAGCAACAATGCAAGCATGTTCGGATGCGCTTCTCCCCCTCGAAATGCAAAATGTTGCTTCAGGATTGGGTTGCATCGACACCCAAACTTATGATAGGGGGTGAAGTGGTTGAGCGTGTCAGCGGTCTCATCATCCCTTTTGGTCTGGTGTGTGACGAAATCTCAGTACGGGTACAGAAGGCTCGACTAGCTTTTGCCAACTTGCGTCATTTATGGCGTAGACGAGATATCCGTCTACCAACCAAAGGACGTGTTTATTTATTTATTTCAATACATAGATAATGGTACAAAGAGGCACCAAATACATATGAGCCACACAAATCTCATTCGATATGTGTGAGGGCTGTGATACTGCCCGGACGTGTTTACTGCGCAGCAGTTCGTTCCGTCCTACTTTATGGCAGTGAAACATAACCGGTAAGAGTTGAGGACATTCGTAGGTTACTAATATTTGATCATAGGTGTCTTCGAAATATTGCTCGTATATCCTGGGACCATCGAGTAAGTAATGTAGTTGTTAGGAAACGGGTACTAGGTAAAGATGGCAAATCAATTGATGAAGTAGTGAAACTTCATCAGTTGAGATGGCTGAGACACGTGTTACGTATGCCCAACCACCAACTCCCCCGATGTGTGACTCCGCTTGTAAGCGGAGTTTTTTAGACACAATATCAATTTTGCTACGTTTGCCTTTGCATTGTTTTCCACTTGTTTCAACTTTTGTTTTATGACACAACTTACAGCTAAGACATTTCTTTTCTTCTGTATCATCTAGTTTCACTAAATAACTGCTTTCCTAAAATTTCTCTTCAACACAAAATCATAAATTTGAGTTCTGTATTTTAGGTAAATACCTAAATTAATATTAAGGATCTGATATTCTTTACAAAAGCAACAAGTTACTCCGAAGTATGTGTCAGTTTTAGCGTACATAATTATTTTATTGGAGTTCATTCTGTTTTTGACATAAATTGACCAGTCATTCATTTTTAGGTACTTTTTGGTATTGGATGTTTGCAGCACTCGCCGTATCCCGCAGCCACTTACAGAAAATAATGAGATGTCGAATCATAATCGGAACAAATTAGAGACCTTGAGAGAATGTAGACAGATGAAGAAATTGCCAAAACACAGTGTAGCCTGGATAAAACAAAAAAAGCAACGTGCCAGGGATCAAATGAAAGAAGTTGCTCATGACTCTAAATATACAGGACGCAAGCGTCGTGCTAAGTTTTGACACGGTTTCTCATTCATTTCTTAAAATTTATGACCTGTATATTGTGTACCTCGTTTACGATCATCATGGGATTTGATTTCAAAGTTGTTCAATCGGTTCTCAAATCTATCTTCTCCAACACCTTTATGTTTTTTGATATCTAATTGTCAGTGTTAAAATTGTGAAAACTTTGCAAACATTTAATTATTCGAGTTCCTCCCTCAGATTTATTAATTCGACTGTAATTTAATATCTTCCAATACATTAATTTCATACTTAAGAAATATGTGATAGTTTTCCAATCAAAATCGTGTTTTGCAATTCTCTAAATGATTTATTAGCTAATGTTTTATGTATTTACCGTGTGCAATCGAAATCATTACTTACGTGTCGATCATTAAGACTTATATTGGATGATATATAATTTTGATTGAGTCCGTCTTTCTTGTTACTTGTAACGTTTACTGACGTAAAATGAGTGTCCACACTATGAGTGGCATGTTCTGAAATGTTTGTTGTACCCTTTACTGTTATCACTGTTAATCTTATAAAGCAATGTGGAATATCTGTATTTATTGCGAATATTTGATTTCCAATAATGTATCCATGAGTTTCGTTGACAAATTAAAGCGTTATTCTCAAATAATGTCGTTACTGAACTAGTGAAGAAAAATCAGGGATTATTATGAAAAAATAAGTTTTCGTCAATGTCTTAATTAGGGTATATATTTATTTTGTATTGGAATTTATAGCGACTCACGTGCAAATGGGTTTATTCTCATTTAACTCAGTTAAGCCCTTTTGCTAACTTATTTAGCGGACAAAGTCATCCGCACTATAACAATTTATTGTACCCTTATTATTTTGTGCTTGTATGAAATACGTATGCTTGAATATTGATTACTGCCCACGCATTTATTCACTCTGCTAGTCTTACTACTAACCGCTTATTTGATTCGATTACTCATTCATTTCACATGGTATATATATGTCCATGTTATTCATATTCAACACTCACGCTCTGGCTCTCGCCCGCTTACTGGCCTTTTGGCACAACTCTTCTATACTTGTTTAACGCATCTGTACATTTGGATATATGTGTGTGGTCTCGCAATAAACGTAATCAACACTTCGTATTTGCCTTCTGATTATTATACCGTTGCGGCGTTATACAGAACGGTTAGCAAGACGAATTGTATACGAAGTTAAGGATTATATCGGATACCGACCACCACAAATTAACAGGTGAAGTGACCTAGTTTGATGAGGTGAGAATAAGGTATTGACGTTGGCCGATGCAATTGGAAAGACTGGTTTAAAGCAACAGAACGAATATTCTGGAACACTATCGATAATGCGAATGATAGTAAAGTTATTTTTAGTTATTCAGTTATACGTAGCATAGAGTCATTGCACATATATGTTTCAGTTCGAGCTGCTGTGTTATATCAGCATAGTGAAATATCGAGAAAATACCAGGGTATTAGAAGTAAAAACAGTTAATAACTTCATGAATTGGTGTTTTGGTTTTGCCTCGCGATGCTTTCTTACAATCTACTCTTATATTAGCTGTCATTGTGCGTGGACGTGGGCGGTTATTGGATATACGCAATACATATTCTAACCGCTGTAGTTGATGAAGTACAATTTAACTGATCGATCTGGGTTCTTCACCTATTACCCTGTGTTCAACCTCGATTTTGTTCACTTGGCAGTTCAACATACTAGACCAATACTTCGAGAGTTTCTACGACCAAATAACGATAGTCTACTAATATGCATTTTTAAAGGCCATATTTCATGGTCTTCGAGTTAAAAAGAGCTAAGGGCTGCTTGTTGAACTCGTTCTTTGGTTGGCAACCAGGTATCTCACATCATCCCCTAACCAAGGTTGATAAGACTTCCAGGATATAGTGAAGAAGCAGGTTGAGAATCACAGAAGTGTTAATTGGTAGGGTACGGAAACAAAGGATGAAGTCAATTGGAAATGTAATCAGAACACTAATATCAAGATTACTTCTATGTATACAAAAGGTGTTATTTCAACTGATAGAAATATTATTTTTTGAAAGCAGGCGTATACTTATTTGAAGCGTGATTTATCCTACAAAGTATAATTTCTCCGAAAACAAGATGTAAACTCTATCGAAATGTCAGATTTACATGCAAAATACGAAATGGATTGTTGTAACCTAACTATCGGAAATCGATGCTTTCAGCTTCATTCCTTGAAAGCAAGCCATCTTATTGAAATTTCTTTGTAAAGGGGAGTACGACACTTTCCAATTCCTAACCTTATTCTTTTATAGTCATTTAGAATAATTGTTTATCATGTCACTTGTTACTCCTGATAAGTGGATTGGTGGTCCTTGAAACTAATGATTTTATTCAAGCAACAGTGTTTTGAGAAAGGAAACTACATTCAGATTTAGTTTCTATTACTATATGTTGTCAGCTTGACGACTTCTTGGGTTTTCCAGTTGATGTAGATTATAAGTATACTCAACAGTACTGGCAAGTTATTTACGAAATGAAACATCACTAGTGACAAACAACTAGTTTGCGAAACAAAGTCATGTTATGGTAATGATATAGTTTGTTTACCCAAGAAACTTGTACGAAAAACAGAATGCGATAGGCGGAAGAGTTGATGTACCTAAAAACGTATCAATAACTCTCGCTCATTGATAAGGTGAAGACACATGACTATGAACTTAACAGTTAGGTTTTTATAAATAAACATTTTGAGGAATAAGTAGTACTTGGTAGTCTAAACGGAAACAGCACGAGTCGGTTAAATGAAGACTTTGCATTCATAAGTTTCAAAGGAGGTAGTGGTAATTACCGTTTACTGAATGTGTCCGAGTTGGTTGGTTTCATGTTTTAATTTAGCCACAATCTAAATTAAAACGAAATTTACTGTTGATTAAACTAACAGTTCATTAACCTACCTAAAATACCGTGTAGGAGGAATACATTTGTCGGTCCCATTATAATAACGAACCCTCAGTTTGGGAGAACTACTAGTCAGTCGCATCGATTAACCGCATTTTTATCAAGATAATCAATGACTGAAGATGTACCTCCGGTACCATGTTTTAAACATCGTAATACTCTGTTTCATTATACTGGTCAAATAACAAGATTTCCTTAGTAACCAATTCAACCTTACTTGAAGCTGCTGAACGACTATCTCTAGGGCTTTGGAAGGAAATGAGTAAAAAGTCTAATTGATTCTTAGCACTACCTAACTTTGACAAATACCTGCTAAAAAGATCACAAGTGCTCTAATTTGTTTGTAACACTCGAGCTAATAAACAGAAAAGACGTTCACATTAAAGTGATCTGAATGAATTTGAGCGATCATTTCGGCCGTTGCGCCTGTGGGATTACACTTAATAAAGAACCCAGCAGTGTGGATATTCTGTAATGTTATCAGGGTCATACAAATGGATTAACAACAAGATATTAAACTGTAGCTTATGACCAGATGTTATGTACGGTACTATCCCACTTGAACCCCAAAGTATACTTGATTGACGTCTACTACTCGGTCTTCCAAGCACTTACAGGTGCTCGAGGTTTTAAGTCTAACCCAACTCAGTTCTGTATCCCTACATCAATTCCCCGCATAACAACTAAAATGAGCAGATCCAGATAATACATAGCAAAATACAGACCAGCCAGTTGCTAAAAAGGATTAGCTAACAGAGATATTTCTATTAAACATCTGTATGGGCAGAAACAAAAGTCGCATTATAAATGCGTATATCCGCACAACTAGAGCACATGAAACTAGTGACAAATAAACCCGTAGTTACTATTCACGCAGGACCCACGGCAGACCTCGCCCAAACACAAGACCTGTCCACTGCGCTTTCTGACAACGTACTAGGAAGCGCTTGACATGTCAATGAAGCGAAGGCCAGAAGCTTGAGATTCTTTATGACCGACTAGTTTTTAAACTAGCAATACTACTAGTGGTCTTGTTTTTGCGACTGTCTACGCAAGCTGACGAACTGTCGTTACCAGCAACGGAACAAGATATGTAGTATGACACCAGTTTTCTAAGTTCGTAATATACCATGACGTAAGCATTAATATTGGATCAAATGGCATGAGGTAAAGTACTGAATCATCCCTAACATTCGTAACGTATGCGGTATATAGAAAATTAGTAACATCTCGGAATATCTGGTGTCCCTTTTTAACGTAGAAACAACAAGTTTAAAAGTTAATGTACTTGACTATAGTGTGGAATTATTCCCGGTTATACAAAATGATAAATGGCAGATATGGGTTGATAAAAGTGTGTATTATTAAGATTATACACTAAAATCGAGGACGATCATAGTAAAATATACACTTATTCCAATGAGATAATCAAGAATCTCGATAGGAGATAGAAAATAAATAATCGGGGAAATAAATAGACCGAGACAGCTAGACAATTAAGTGACGACATCACTGAATTTTTATTAGCATGAAGTATATTTCCACAGCACTAAACTGGATTTGCTTCGCCATCACTGTCGAATTTGAGATCTGCTAGGGTTTCCATTAGATATGAGCGAAGTTGAGGCAAAGATGCTACACGTCCATAGAAATCGTCCACACGATACTTGTTAAATATTGCCTGCGAATATTAAGGATTAGTAAAGTAAAACATACTCTATATTTCGAAGGAGAATTTTGACGATAAGCAGCCCGAGCGAGAACTTGAAGATGATCACGTATATCATCCAACTTATAACCGCTAAGATAAGACAGTTTATCACACCAAGCCCTTTCAAGTTCTGAAGTGCCTAGACACAGCGCTCGAGACAGACAGAACGCAATCACAGAGCGGAGGTTCCCTGGAAGATGTGCAAGATCATACTCCTGTATCGTAAGTTCCAAGAAATATTTAGCTAGGTTGTGCATAGTCCTATCAGCCTGGAAGGAAAGGTCAGATAAAACAAACTTACATCCATAGCCTTTGACAAGCGACGCAAAAATACTAATGGAGTTGGAATGGACAAATAGAAATCAGTCGATTGCAATATAATTTGTTCGGTGTTCCGTATGTCACTTTTAGAATAGGTATTGTTTGTAATTGATGAGAAGTCACTTATATCGGGTGGATACATTTCTTCGAACTTGGCAGCAATGAATAATGATGCCACGCCTATAAGCTGAAACCCATCCTTCGTCAAGCTTTTTGAATTTTTCTATACGTATATAATTATAAAGACCTAACATACCAATAAATAACGGTCCAAAATAGCAACACATAAATAGAGGGTTTCAGGTTGCAGTTTATAACTGTAGTGTACTTGAACAAGCCAGTTAACTAAGATGTAACGCATTCTGGGAGTGATTTCACAATTTGCGGACATGTAGTCAGCTACTAGGGGTTGTACTAACAGTTCTCTATCTTGAAGATAATTAAATATTCGTTCAGAATAAGGGTAAACCGAAGCGGCATCCCCGTAGTCGTTTCGGTCAACCTCCAAAAAGTCCTCTGCCAACTGAGACGCTAAAAATTCTGAACGAATGAGTCTTCGGCTGGCCCGAAACTCCTTGAGTTGATCAGTTTTTTTGTGAATCGTAACGTCAGGAGCTGAACCATCGATACTCATGTCAAGTTGTTTTTCTTTTTCTGAAGCGAAATAATAACGTGAGTACTAATCTCACTTGGTTCCAAACATTTTTCATCCTTCAAGCCTTTTTGCTTTTCAGCTTCTTTTGGCAAGATACTAGTAGCCTTATTCTTAATATCACCTAGGGCTGCGCGTGACCTCGTTGACACACCCGTGCTTTTGACTTTTTGGACGAGATTATCCTTAACACCAACGGCAGCATTTTCATTAGCCTGAAATTATTCTAGGAAAACATCTTTTCCTTACGTAGACCCCGAAACGGCTGCGAGTCAACATTGTGGGGATTTTCAAAATGCAGCTGACCGATCAAAAGGCGTACCACCCGCCAAATGCAACGAACTGGTCCTGAGAATTATTCAAACAGCGAAGTGGTTCAAATGGTTCAAATGGTTTTGGGCGGAATAGAAGAATATGTCGCTTCACAAGCTTCCATGTCTAGTAGCAGTGCACCGTCAATACTTCCAAACAGGAACCTAGTATATTGTCGATAA